ACCTCAGCCTCCCAAAGGCGCAGGATTACAGGCTGAGCCACCAAGCCCGGCTCATCTTTTCTTTTTAAGAGACAGGGTCTTGCTCTGTCACCCAGGCCGGTGTGCAGACTCCTGGGTTTAAGCGATCCTCCTGCCTCAGCCACCATGCCCCCCACTCCTTTCTATCTTGAGTCCACTCAGATATCTGGTCTATAAGGAAATCCTGACAACTGTGCTTTCAAAATGGATCCAGGGTAGGGCGAAGTTTTTTGCACCTGTAATCCCAGCACTCTGGGAGGCTGAGGTGGGAGGATCACTTGAGGTCAGGAGTTCAAAGGCAACCTGGGCAACATAGCAAGACCTCATCTCTGCAAAAATAAATTAGCCAGGTGTGGTGGCACATACCTGTAGTCCCAGCTACTTAAGAGACTCAGGGGGAAGGATCACCCGAGTCCAGGAGGTGGAGGTTACAGTGTGACTGCATTTCAGCCTGGGTGACAGTGTGAGACTTTGATCTCAAAAAATTTAAAAAGACCAATTTTCAGCCAAGTGCAGTGACTCACACCTATAATCCCAGCACTTTGGGAGGACGAGGTGAGAGGATTGCCTGAGCCCAACGGGTTCGAGACCAGCCCGGGCAACTTGGTGAGATTTCATATCTACAATAAGTCAAAAAATAATCCAGCTGTGGTGGCACATGCCTGTAGTTCTAGTTACTTGGAAGGCTGAGGCAGAAGGATCACCTGAACCCAGGAGGTTGAGGCTGCAGTGGCTTTCCCTGTCAAAGAGAGCACACGAATACACCTTTTAAAAAGCTCTCAGCCGGGCTCGGTGGCTCAGCCTGTAATCCCAGCGCTTTGGGAGGCTGAGGTGAGAGGATTGCCTGAGCCCGCGGGTTCGAGACCTGCCTGGGCAACTTGGTGAGACCTTGTCTCTACAAAAAAATCAAAAAAATTAGTCGGGCATGGTAGCACACGCCTATAGGCCCAGCTACTTGGAAGGCTGAGGCGGAAGGATCGCCGGAGCCCAGCAGGTCGAGGCTGCGGTGACCGGGAGCGGCCTGCACTCCAGTCTGGGTGACAGAGTGAGACTCCAACTCAAAAAAAAATAAAAATAAAAATAAACAAGAATGACAGCAAGTCAATGATTACTGGCGCTGGGGTTCAATCCATGATCCTCTGTGCTTTTCTGCTTTTGTGTAGACTGTAATTCCAAAACGCCACAATAAAAAGGGTTCTCCGACAACATATCCACCTGCCCGGCCAACGCCACCCCTTCCTTCCTGTCCTTCACCCTTTCACATGGCATTTGTCACTTCCTGAGACCACAGCCTACATTCACTTCCTTACTGTCTCCCACTTCAGAGCCTCATCTGCCCAAGGGCAGGGTTTTCTTTCTGTTCTATTCACAGCTGTGTGCCCGTTGCTTTTGCTTTGCACATGACTGGTGCTATCTAAATATTTGTCGAATGAATGAATTAAAAAGTACCACAAACACAATAAACAAGCTGTCATCACCGAGAGTGGATATTTGTATACAGTTCTGAAGAAGCAAGGACGGCAGAGGAAGACCTTTCTGAGGTGATATTTATATTTATACTTCTTTTTTTTTTAGGAGTCTCCCTTTGTCGCCCAAGCTTGAGTGCAATGGCACGCTCACAGCCACCACAGCCTTGACCTGCTGGCCTCAGGCAATTCTTCTGCCTCAGCCTTCCAAGTAGCTGGAACCATAGGCATGCACCACCATGCCCGGTTAAATTTTTGTATTTATTTATTGTAGACAATAAATAAGTTGCCCAGGCTGGTCTCGAACCCTTGGGCTCAGGCAATTCTCTCACCTCATCCTCCCAAAGTGCTGGAATTATAGGCATGAGCCACCACGTCCAGCCTATACTTCTTTTTTTAATGAGTCAGAGTCTCACTCTGTCGCCCAGGCTGGAGTGCAGTGGCACTCCCATGGCCACTGCAGCCTCGACCTGCTTGGCTCTGGTGATCCTCCCAGCTCAGTCTTCCAAGTAGCTGGAACTACAGGTGCACACTACCACGCTTGGCTAATTTTTTTTTTTTTTTGGCAAGATGGGGTCTGGCTATGTTGCCCAGGCTGGTTGCCCCCATTTATTCTTCACAAAGAACAGGGTCCTTTTGGACTAAGGAGCTCAAAGCAAAGAAGAGAAAGCATTTTGCTCATAGACACAATGGGACTCACAATGTGCCCGCAAGGAGGCCACCTGGGCCTGGCGGCAGGCCCCAGCCCTCACCTTTGTCACGGTGTAGACCCCCAGTAGGTTCAACTCCAGCAGCTGCCGGAAGTCCTGGGCAGAGGTCTCCTCAGGCCGTTGTGGAGGTGGGTCTGAGGAGGGAGAGAAAAGAGAGAGGGAGCCATGTGGCTGGGAGATGGAGGGGACAGGAAAGGGGAGGGGGAGAAGAGGCACGGAGAAGTGGGGAGTGGCAGGCCATAGGGCCAGGGAGCTGCAAAGGACAGAGGCTGCTTGGCGGTTAGTGAAAGATCCTTCTCTGGGGCTAAAAGGTCCGGGTTCGAAACTCCATCCTGCCGCTTCCTGGCTTCCTGACCTTGGGCAAGTCATTTTTCCTTTCTGTCTTTCTTTCTTTTTTTTTTTGAGTTGGAGTCTCACTCTGTCCTCCAGACTGGAGTGCAATGGCTGCTCCCGGCCACCGCAGCCTCGACCTGCTGGGCTCCGGTGATCCTTCCGCCTCAGCCTTCCAAGCAGCAGGAATTACAGGCATGAACTACCATGCCCAGCTGATTTTTTTTTTTTTTTATTGGTGAGATGAGGTCTCGCTGCCCATCCCCTGAGCTGCCTCAGCTAATAGTTTACTGCAACCACCTGAAAGACATTGAGCTGCTCTCATATTCCTGACCCATAAAAACTGTGAGAAAATAAATGTTTGTGAGTAATCAGCTAAATTTGGGAAATTCTGCTACAGAATACAGATAATGATATAGAATTGGCTACCAGAAATATGGTACTTTTTACACAAATATATAAAAATGAAGGATTGGCTTTGACACTGAGCAGTGGGTGGATGCCA